ACCTACATGGACCCTTTGGGTCCTACACTTTGATATCCCTGGGTCCGGAACACGCATGCCCTGGGTCTCGCATAGCCCGGTTTATAGTTGGACCATGAAGGATTTAGGGTTTAGAGTTTAGGGTTAAGGGGTTAGGGTTTATAAGCCCTAAACCCTAAACCCTATAACACTGTCGTGTTAACGGTTTAATGTTACCCTAGGGATTCAAATAGCCCAATGTAGGTAATATTTAAATACTTTCGGGCCCAATGTAGGTATTATTTGTATACTTGGATCCCTAGGGTTAGAGCTTATGGTTTAGGATTTGGGGTTCAGTCTTAACCTTGGCTGGATCCCTACCATCCCTGAAGCTACGCCTCAAATCCCCAATTCAAAGCCATCACTCTTTGAAGGTTCAAACTTTTAGGGTTTAGAGCTTAGGGTTTAGGATTTTCGATTTAGGTGGTTTAGGATTTAGGGCTTAGGGTTTAGGATTTAGGGTTTAGGGTTTAGGGCTTAGGGTTTAGGATTTAGGGTTTAGTGTTGAGGGTTTAGGATTTAGGGTTTAGGGTTTCCTGGGTCCTGAGCATGGGCCCCTAATTGGGCTTTGAGGGTTGTATAGCGTATGGGTTCATCGTAATAGGTATATAAGGAACGCGGGATTAAGGACCCTAAGCCCTAACCCCTCCCATACTAGGGGCCCCTAGTTCCCACCTTGGAAATCCTAAGCTAGGTCCCCACAGAGCCAATGTACCTAACTTAAGAAGTATACCGGGTTTAGGGTGTACCCTATAGGCCTATATAGGGTTTCGAGTTCAGGTTTAGTGTATGACGTATACCGGGTTTAGGGTGTACCCTATAGGCCTATATAGGGTTTCGAGTTCAGGTTTAGTGTATGACGATCCCTAATTGAAGTAGGCATGAGCAGCAGCGGGCCCCCCGGATATGATGCAGTTGCCATGAGAGGGGCAACGGTTGCCAGGGTGGCAGGCTTTTTAACGAGCGCCGACCTCAGCCGTCTGGACACCAGATCGCCGTGCGCCAGCCGAACTTCGCACGAGATGATGAGTGCAACGGGGTACCCTCTCACTGAGAGATGTGTCTTAGCTGCTCTCTGGACTCTGATCCAAGAGCCGCGTCCAGCCCCCAAAGCCTCACGCCTGACACCTGTCAACCCAGGCCCGGTTTCAAGCCCTATGAGTGCCGATGGATAGAACATGGGAAAGTGGGCTTATAATTAAGGATGTAGGTTCTATAGAGTCTATACTTGGAGGGTCAGCGGGACTTTGTAAGTAGGTCAAGGTGGCTCGGGTTATCAGTATTTTTACGAAACTCCCCAGACTCTGCAACCTTTTCACAAACTATTTTGGAGGCCCCTACAGTACCACCCAGTGAGTTTCTTCCTCCGAATTCCTAAGCCCTAAACCCTGAACCGTAAACGATCATCGAGGCTATGATCTGGTACTTTGGCGGGGTACCTTTCCAGCATTAGTGCAGGCGATTCAACGTTTTGGGATTTGGGGTTTCTGGATTATAGTTCGTGGGTTGTAGCAGTCAAGGAGTTCAGGATTTTCATGAAACGTCATACTCAAACTTGTTTTTGTTCCTGCTTGCTGCTTGGGAGTCATAAGTTACGTTCAACACCAGTCTGGTTGGGGTTTCAGGGGTTGTTTGGCTTGTGGCTATCTTCAAACCATGCGCAGCACAGACGTTGCCTACTCATGAAGCAGTTTGTTCCTCACACCCTATATGCCAAACCTCGAACCATCAAAGGCTTGCGCCAGCTTGTTTCAAATTACTCACCTCTAGGTTTCTACTGTACTCCACCCCAGGGTGCTGCTGTGCTCAACCCTCTGGTTATCTGACAGAAAGAAAGAAAGTCTGTCTTGAAGATCCCCAGAACACATGTGCGGTTCATTTGTTGCGCGTGCTTTCTGCACTGTGGTAACAGGGCAGGTATCCACACAATAATCAACAAGAAGCGGCCCGAGGATATGCTGTGAGCTGGCAATGCCGTCAGATGTGATGGATATGGTTCAAAAGTTGAGGGTTAAGGTTTAGGGTTTAAACGGCTTCCGTGATGAGGGACAAGTCGGCATGTCTTTCGAGTAGACGCTAGGTAACGAGGTCACCGCGTCAAAAGTAATGAAGGCAATCATATACTTACCCCAAACCTGCAATTACCCCACAATTTCCGTTACCAAAACCCCAAGAACCAAATTGTTGGGTTTTTGGACCCTTAGGGGACTAGCCCACCATTCCCTCACTAGCAGCAGGCAGCCGAATCGGCCTCAGACCCGAAACGGCAAACCCTCAATGAGTCCTTAAACCTTGAGAATTACGTGTAAAAACCTGAGGGTTTAGGGTTTTAAGCGTGAAGTGTACGAATTTCAATGACTTAGGGTCCCGGCTCCTTAGTCCCATAGCTTCTAAATCACACTCTTCAAAATCCGCCCCCACCCCCCCCCCC